ACCTTTCTTTTACTAAAGTAAAACTAAAAAAGAATTGTATGCACCTGTTCCAATTTACTTACAAATTCAACTTAAATTAAAGACACACTTAGAAACCAATCTTATTCATAACCCAGAGGCTGCCCGTATTGTCGAATTACTTAAAATTTGGAATATCATTATTGTTGTTCAGTATGGTTGAGTCGGTTCCGACTCATAACAACCCTGTATAAGCAACCCTGAGGAGTGACTGCTGAGTTTGAACCGCCAATCTTGAAGTTCAAACCAACATTGCAGTCTAGTGCATTATCCTATAACACCATAGCAGGGCTTCCACATTTGCGTGAATCACCCCCAAATCAAATATATGAATTGTTGTGTTGTTAAGTGCCGTCAAGTTGGTTCCGACCCATAGCGACCCTGTACAGGGTTTCTAAGGCTGTGAATCTTGATGAGAACAGAAAGCCTCATCTTTCCCCCACGGAGCAGCTGGTAGTTTCGAACTGCTGACCTTATGGTTCATGGCCAGATTCGTAACCACTACGCTACCAGAGCTCCTTAAGTATATGAATAGATGGGCACAATTGGCTTATTTTAGAAATGTTATCTCCAAGGGAAGCAAAAAATGGTTTTCTAAGAATGACTAACACAGCTAGGACTTCAGTATGGAATGGTCACCATAGAACCCAAAGCAATCATTTCCTGTGTGAGAATGTGTGTGTGAGAGAGAGACAGAGAGAGCTGCCTGATGCCTATCTACATGAACTCCTGAAGTAATCACAGGGAGTCTTTAGTATAACGATCTGCAAACAGCAATCACTTAAAATTGGTTAGTCTGAGTATCACGCAAAAAAATCCCTGCTTAGCATGACACCTCCTGGTTAACAGCATGCTTGAAAGCTGTAGAGGACAGAGTGAGCTACATAAGGCAGGATCCTAATTTGGAGTCTACAAATACATGTGGTTTCCATCCATCACCCTAAAGGACAAGGGAACAAGAACTCATTTCAACCTAAAATGAGTGAGACCATTAGTCAGTATTCACAAATCCAACTAATAACTTTAATTGACCTGAAAATATTTTTTCAGGAAACTATAGAACTGAAAGGGATCTTGAAGGCGACCGGTGTTCAAGTCCTTCAATTTGCAGTAAAAGTGACAGAGATCTACACACTGTGACTGCTGATTGGATTGGGATTGTAGAATTGGGCTGTAATTACATCCAGCTTCCCACTGGCTCTCACCAATTAGCTTTCCATATGTTATAAAAGGAAACTTCAGTACCCAATGGCCAAGTAAAGCAAAGGGCACTGCCCACTGAAGATACTGATCACCCTATGTCCAAAATCAAAATGTTTATTCTCAGTTTATGGTGGGAATTAGAAATGTGGGATGGGAGGCAAGGGTTGTGCCTATATGTAGTGGGTTTGCTTTATGACGTGTATTCAACATGCTACTTGACACAGTCAAGATATAAGATAACATTCAATCAACTTCAGAACATCTGGCTTCTCCCCAAATCGTAGTTTGTACACAACAACAAAAGGAGTCCCATCTTTTAGGTCCTCGCATCTTTTCCTGTGGAGAGTACTTTATCGTTTGCCAAACACTTTACCCACATATTTGATGGATCAACCTCTGCAGAGAGCCTTCCTTTGATTTTGTTCATCAGAGTCTTGGCCCCATCTGTATTCAGACAATGAATTCTACTGAAGATTTGCCTACTCCCAAGGCAAGAGCTGTTTTTTGAAACTCCTCTTGTAATACAAGGATTTAACTCCTCTGGGGCAGCTATACAGTGCACCCACATATGGGCTTTTCCATTTGGTAGAGTTTGGAGCTCAGTGCTTTGAATTATTTTATTCCTGCTATAATATCATATATGGACTAATATAATACAACACCAAGATGTCACTGATTTCTAAAGAATTGTGTTAAACCCATTGTCTTACTTCCAAATCATTTTCCAAAGGTAGCTAGCTCACATAACACTAGGCCTTTCCTGCCTGTACATAATCTAGGGCTGTGTTACTGGCTCAGGGGTTCAGGTCTCTAAAACCCTATCATACAAGTTTCTGCCATATGGTCACTGAAGCCCTTGAGACAAAACAGGGATGACTTACTTAATCCCCTCTTTAGTTAAATTAGGAATCCTGTTGGGCTGTTCACTGAAAGCTCTGTGGTTCCAAATCACCAGCCACGAAGGAAACAGATGAGGCTCTGTGCTCCCATCAATATTTACAGTTTTGGAATCCCTCCTGAGGGTCACAATGAGTCAGAACTGACTTGAAGACAGAGGGGTGGATAAATTGTTTTACATTAGAAAAGGTCATAACCAACCCACAGACATGTTTTCATTGTATCACCATTACAAGTAAGGCTATTTAGCTTTTCAATACAGCAGCAAGAACAAAACTTAGAAGTTTGGTCATGGCTGGTGGTGAGCTCCTTGTTCATTTTCACATAACATACTTACTTTAGATAAACTTGAATTAAAATCTTCCAAACCAGGCTTTCCATTAAGACTACCTTTATGGTAAATTCATTGTCACAAATTGTTGAGTTCAGTGAAGGGGAAATCCTTTTATTTAATTAATTAGTTTAGTAGGTTGTTTTCTTTTTATGTTACTATTTTGGAGAAGGCAGGAGGAATGGGTATAAAGAAATAACAGATTACTGCTTTAAACTCAGTTTCATCTCTCATCCTCACATAGCAGTCCCAGCAGGCCTGGGCTCCTGACCATGAGGCTCACAGGTCATGACTCACAGGTCAACTGTTGAATCATCACTTCCCCTGCTTTTAGCCACCTTCCCAGCTTCTATGAAAGCTGACTTTGGTTATGGGCAATGGCAGTTCCTGAATGTAGACATTTCATATGTCTAAAGAGTATAAGCAGCTTGTCACCAATATGGGGAAGTGAGGGAAAAACAGCAATGAAGCGGCAAGCTAAGCCCTACAATGTTCAATAGACTTCTGTGAAGCCGGGTGAAGACCTGGTTGGCCAGCAGTGTGGCAAGACCTGGGGACTCTTGGGCCCAGAGTCAGTGACATAGCCACAGAGGACTAGAGTGGAGAGTGAAGTGTCCTGCTGATAAGAAGAAAGGGCATATACATAAGAACATCCACACTTGCAGATAATACCCACTTGACCTGGCTTCATTGACTGGATGATCAGAGCTCAACCAGAAGAAGAAAGAAGAGGGAAAAAAGAGTAATCTGATACAATTTGATGAACTTGACCTACACCTATGGATGCAGTAGCTCAAAAGAGGGAACAAATAATTACAGCAAGGATCATTCCCACCCCCTCCATATACAGAGTAAACAGAGATGGGCAACTTGGACATTGGCTACCCAAAATGGGAGGGCCACAAAGGCAAGAAGTGACTGGCTTATAAGCTTTCAAGAGGGAACCTAGATTCAGAGGGCATGGAGGAAGGTAGAATCTCCACTGAGTAGTATACAATCTGTCTTGGCAGGGCTGATGAAATGAAATGTGGATAGGTCTCTTGTGATACAATAGTGAATAATTGTAATCAGGACTGTTTTTGAGGGTTGGAAATGTAAAGGTAGATATTTTGTAGCAAGGAGGGGAGTGATTAACTTTTCAGCCTAGGAGCAGAGGTCCCTGGGACCATCAAGGAAGAAGAGCAGAGAGAGGGACCCTACCCAGAGAAGCAGTGATGCCTGAGATGGAGGCAGAGATGATAACATGGAGAGATGGAGCTGTTGGGGACTTCAGACAGAGATGGAAAGGGGCTGTGTGCTGATGACCAGGGGGCAGGCTTGTAGTGTATACTCTTTGGTTGGAGGGGATTGCAACCATGGCAATGCAACAATATATGATAGGATGAATGTAAAACTAATGTTCTCCCATGTAAACTATCACATAATTCACAAAACATTTTTTATAAAAAAGAGTGTAAGCAGTCTACTGGGGGTAGAGGTGGGGTGCCTGAGTGTTTCTTATGGGGTAATCAGTGGCTTCCATATTCACAACCACCTTTGGTCAAGAAGGAATCACAGCAGACTCAGGAAGTCAAAATTCTAGTCTGGTTACATTTTAGCCAACTCATTTTGATTCAATGGCTATATCAGATCTGCTTCTAGTTACTTCACCAGGACAACAAGAGGAAGAATTTGTTTTCACATAGCAGGCTCCTAGGAAGAGCAATGTTTTATGAACAGCAGGCAACTGTGGCTAAGCAACTGGGGAGATTTTTTTTAAGCTTTTATTGTGAATTGAGTCATAGCTTACATGGGTTTTGCACTCAACCAATCTTATTTTGTTGTACTGCAATGATTACAATCCCCTCCATGCACCACTGGTTAACAGTATTTGCCTCTATTTCTTCTCTCTCTCTCTTTTTTTTTTTTTGTACATAAAAATACGTAGGAATACATAATTGCTTAAACAACCAAAGGGCACATTTTGCAAGCCAGTCTCCTGTCTGGCAGCACACAGCCTTTCTCTTTCCATGAGCCTAGAGTCCTCAGCTACTCTACCTCTCCATGCCATCACCTCTGCCTCCATCTCTGGTGTAACTGCTTCTCTGGTTAGGATCCCATGTTCCACTCATGCTCTTCCCTTTGATGGTCCTAGGGTCCTCTGTTCCTAGAATGTAAGATTAACTATTCCCCCATTTTTGTTAATTAACTTCTACCTTTACAATTGCGACAACTGCAATTAGTCATGGTAACAATTACTATTGAATCAAAAGAATCCTATCCCCATCTCCTTTTACCAGACCCATCTAGACAAGACGAAAACTATTCAGTGAGGATTCTACCTTCCCCTGTACACTCTGAAACTAATTTCCTCTTGAAAACGTGTAAACCAGCCACTTCGTGCCTTTATAGCCTGCCCACCCCCACCCTCAACACACACCTCCACCACCACCACCATTTTAGGTGGCCAATGTCTAAGTTGCCACAATTGGGGAGATTTTAAAAGTGAATTCCAGTTGTGGAATTCCAGATTATTTTCTTATTTACACTAGGCTGAACATTTGTTTCCTACCTGCACATTTGAAACTCTGAGCAGTGAGGCCTCGCTCCAAAGACAGAGTCGTCAGAATGCTCAGGAAGCTGGTGGTCACGGACTGGCGTTTGTTCTCCCTGAGCTCCGGCCCACCCACTGGATCCTTGGATTTGTTCCTCAATGTGACTTGGAGGTTTTGCTCTGAACTCCTTGCCATGTTGGCAGCTGTCTTCAGAGCCTCCATCCACTCCTGAGCCCTCTGCCAGGTCTCAGCTCGGAGGCGGAGCACGTCTTGGGGGAAAATGACTTGAAAGCAAGAGTCGCAGTCATCCAGATTGTCCATCTGAACAGCCAGACACACATCCACATTGTAGCTCAGCAGGGGGTCCTCGTCCAGCTTGCCGGGCTGGAAAGCCATAAGGTAGGCTCTGCTCAACACAAAGGTAAACGCCTTCCAGTTGTTTTGGACAGTTAGCCTGTAGAGCGTCCCTGATTTGAGGATATTTTGGTACTGCTTGGGGCTATCCAAGACAGGGGAAGACAGCAGCAGCTCACTGGATTTCTTCTGTAAACAATGATTCTGTGTACAGTCAACATTCTGACCAAAGCCTGGTGAGTTTGCCAGATCATCCTGCCGTGCCACATAACCTGGCCTGGAGGTATGCACAACTTCCCAGAGCTTCTGTCCCCAGTCCAAAGCCTCCCATGGTGACTCTGCCCTTAGCTGGAGCTGAGTGTTGTCATACAAGACAGCATCCACCATCCTGGCCTCAAGGTTGCCCAAAACAGATATGCTCTGGAAGTGCGAAAGCTGGTAGGTGGCACAGAGGTTTTGGTTCCCACTGCTGTCGAGGTTGTAGAAGTTTAAGTTGTAGGGTGATAGCTCAGCACAACAGCTTTGCCAGTAACTGTCATGGTCCTTTCTAACCTCCAGGTAGCCCTTCTTCAGAAGGTTTGGGAATGTCTGCTTGTGCTCTGGAAATTATATAAAAAAAAACAAGAGGCAAAGTATTAATGAAACAATGTAAAAGCAGGTTCAAAAATTCAAACAAGGAGTTCACAAAGTCGAAGGAGTAAAATTTCAAGGTGGTACCCAATTGGTAAGATATACCTCTAAAAATCTGAACTAGGTAGAATTATGGGTGCAAGACTGAGGACAGTGTGTCATCAGTGTGTCATCCAATGGAAACCCGGAATACCAAGACACCTGTGACTGAATACACCACTAGCAGCCAGCAACCAAATCCACTTTGCAAGGGTTCCTTATTCTTTAGGTAACATTCAGTGAAGTCCCAAGTACAGGAGAAAGTCCTTCCTGGCACTTGGCTTAATTATCTACTGATATGTTAATCTTTCCTTAGGTGGTAAAGCCAGGACCAGGTCAGTGGGAAGGGCCAGGCAAGAAGTGTCCTGACCCACAAACTCTCGAACTTGCTCTACACGCTCCTGTACTATGTGGACTATGCTTTTCTGCCTAGTCTCTCTGACTCCTTGCCACAAACAGTAAAATGCAGCCAACTGAACCATTTCTCAGACCCTCCAAGGCAGGCTCATGGTCCTCTGTCTAGTAGCCAGTCCTCTGGGCTTGACCAAACTAGCCTCACTTCTTAGGTCTCTGCTTGGCTGGCAGTTCTCTCACCTCTGAGGCTAACTGTGTGTGTATTGTGCCCTGAGCCTGTTCATCCTCTTAACCAGCTCATCCTTCACTTTGTTACCCCCTCTTCTAGAAAGCTTGTCATGAAATACACACACACATACACACATACAACCCTGGGCCCTTTCAGATATGTCTACTATATTATTCCTCAATCATAGACTCCTATGAGGTTGTATTATGAGAATGTATTTAAATGTCTGATCACATAAAATAAACTTGAGCATTTAAAAAAAGAGTTTCTCTCCCCTTCACTAAGGGCAGGATCTGATCTCTCCTCTTATCTTGTGCCATGTTGTCACACAGTATGTGCTCCATTAACTAGTTGCTGTCCAGTGACTCTGAGTAGAAATGTGCTCCATAGGGTTTACTTTTAAGTTTTTATTGTGAATTGAGTGAAAGGTTACAGGTCAGATCATCAGTTTTACATTCAACAAATCATATACTTTCCCCTCCATGTACCTTCAGTTAACAGTATTTCTCTCTATTCATTTTAGTTGTTTTTTTTTTTTTAACAGGCAAGCATTTATAATAATTTACACCACCAAAGGGCACATTCTGCAAGTCTGCCTCCGGGCCACCAGCTCTCAGAACCTCTCTTCCCATGAATCTAGAGTAGTCCTCAGCTTCTCCCTCTCTCCATGTCCTCATCTCTGCCTCCATCTCCGGTGTTGCTGCTTTTCTGGATAAGGTCTCATATTCCACTTGTGCTCTTCTCCCTTGATGGTTCTAGGGTCCTTTGTTTCTGGACTGTAAGGTTAACTACTCCCCCTTTTTGTTACACAACTTCTACCTTTTCAGTTGTGACAGTCGCAATTAGTCATGACAACAATTACTCACTATTGAATCATAAGAATCTTCTCCCCATCTCTTTTCACCAGACCCATCTAGACAAGATGAAAACTTTTCAGTGGGGATCCATAGGGTTTGCAACGGTTGCTTTTTCTAATGTAGACACAGGCCTTTCTCTTGAGGTACTTCTTTTGGTTAGCAGTCAAGTGTGTTAACCATTTGCACCCACATATAACACATAATGTTGTTGTTAAGTGCTGTCCAGTTGGTCCCTACTCACAGTGACCCTGTATCGGGTTTCCAGGGAGTGGTGAGTTTGAACTATAGACCTTGTGGTCTAGTGCGTATCCTACAGCACCACAATCCTTACTGAATACTTCATTAGAAATAAAGCTCCTAGCTCAATGCTCGGCATATGGCAGATCAAATTCCTTTCCATTCTTTTCTCCCTTCCTGTTTTTCAGCTTTATCTGGTCCTGCCATCTTAAATCAATGATCAGCTGCAATGTCTACCAGTTTAATATTTTAATAAAAGGAGACTTCCTGGCACTTCTATTAAACAAGAAAAAGAGATCTAAACAAAAGGGAACAGATATTTTATTTCTGAGATGTTTCTCAATCTCTATGCTTGACACACACACTGGATACAGCTATAAACTAATTTCCCTAAAGAAGAAAATTCATGCTCCCAAAGGATATGATTTCTGATTTTGACTGAAGAAAAAAGAATGCAGATGTGTATTCTTAAAATAGCAAACCAAAAGAGAAAAAAGAGGCAAACAAAAGGCAATTTTACCTGTTTTACATCTCTGGTCCTGACATTCATTAGTATTTCTGTAGTAACTCAAAAGCCATTAATTTCCTGCAACCCATACTAATCCCTTTGTAGAAGGAGATAATGGATGCCTATTCTCGGGTTATCTTTCTTTTCTGATAATGTAATAAGGGGGGAGGGCGTGCTGTTGGAGACACAGCTGCTGCCTCTCCCCATCTCATCCCTATCAAGCACTGATTCTGGTTAAACCTTTTCCATAGGAAAACTTGTCACCATGCATCCCTGTATCCCCATCCCGCCACTGAGCCAGCCGCCCAGCTATGCTTTAGCTAGGGACTTCTTCCCCTCTTTTTACCTTTTTTTATAATAGCTAACACAGATTAGAAATTCGACTTTAATTGAGCTCAAATTAGCAGCCAGCTTGACTAGAACCCTGGTTCTGATAGCCACCCTAGAGAGAAAGATGCTGGCTGAGGTGAACTGAATGAAATGTTCTGCTAGGGAGTCTCCAACGCTCCCTTACCCTCTGGCTGAAGATGAAGGATAGAGAACAGAATGCAAGTGTGCCAACATGTGCCCCCAGTCAACAGGCAACATTTCTTATCTCTGTTCCCAGCATCTAAGTATGGGGGTGAGGTGGGGTGGGAAGCTTAAAAAAAGTTCATGGAAAAATGGAATTAAAAGAAATGAAAATTTCCCATGAATTCTTTGAAGTCCCCCTTGTAAGTACGTTAAATTGAGACAGAAAAGAGAGATGTAGCTCATAGGAAATAGCTCATCTGTATAAGCTGCAGTATGTAGTATAATTTCTTAAAAATAAGAATTAAGAAGACAGTAAATGAGATCAGGAAACTATTCTCTGGGGTGCCTGATCCTCTCTAGAGGGCATGTTTGAGTCATATCTTATTTTATATGTGAAGTATTAATTATCCTTGGTTGTAGAGGGTTGAAGAACTACCCTTTCTTACTAATTTCTAACAACTGCTACTTACAAATCAGAAGCTATATAATATTTAAACCTAGAACCTTCACTAATTTATAGTTCTTTTATTTGACCAGAAGATATCTTTTCAACTCATTTTATAAACCACACACACATTCTTTAAAAATTTCAATTTCATATTTTAATAATTTGTTGTTGTTAAGTGCCATTGAGTGGGTTCTGACTATAGCGACCCTCTGTAGGATTTTCAAGGAGTAGCTGGTGGGTTTGTACTACCAGCCTTGTGGTTAGCAGTCCAGTGCTTATCCTACAGTTTCCACACCAGGACTCTACTATTAGTTAATACCCTAAGCGATTCAGATGGATCACTGACAAAGATTATTTCCATTTCCCCAGTGAAAATGGAGAAAGAGAATTAAAGAGAATCATTTGACCTATGAATTTCTATATCTGCAAAACACTGAAACCATGAGACAATAACCCCCTCAAAAAAGGGAAAAAGAATTAAACAATTTACCACTTTACCTGTTTCCCAGACCGCAAGGTCGGTAGTTCAAACTCACCAGAAACTCCTTGGACCCAAGTCGATAGTACAATAATACCCAGTGCAGTGACTTAGTACAATCATTGCTACTGACTGAAGAGGAAGAAAGGAATTTTCCCCATCATGCACCTGACTCATTACTGTATTGCCAACCCACCATATAGTTCCTCTTTTGCTGTTATTTCCTCTATCCTTTCTCAAAAACTTTCCGTTCTCAGTGACACTCTCCTAGTCAAGGTCTGAATTCAGTTTGTACCTCTAGACTTCCTCCCTCATGGCCATTTTACAACTGCTTCCAGGTCAACATTTCTGGGTCACTCACAACCCCTCCCATACCCCCACCTCAGAGCTAAACTTTTCACCAGTTTCCTGGTGAATAAAGCCCAAACTCTTTAGCTGGTCCTTAAAACATTTTATCATGAAAAATTTTAAATACACTCAAAAGCAGAGAAAAGAACAAAATGGACACCTATGTACCCATGTCTCATGGTAGTGGTGGTTATGTGCCATGGCATCAGTCCGACTCTTGGCGATCCTGTACAGGGTTTCCGAGGCTGTTGTAAATCTTCACGGGAGCAGAAACCCTCATCTTTCTCCTGCGGAACAGCTGGTAGTTTCAAACTGCTGACCTTGAGCTTGACCTTGAGGTTAACAGCCTGACACATAACCACTATGCTGCCAGAGCTCCACACACACACATATATACACACACATACATACATACAAACACACATAATGTATATACACACGATACCACATACATATACATACATACATACATACATACATATACATGATATAATTTTCACACCCAACCAAACTAAAAATAATTCTTTATTTCTAATACCCAGTCCATGTGTCAATAGTCCCAGATAGTCTTAAAAATTTAATACAGATGGCTTGTTCAAATTAGAGTTCAAAAAGATTCCCACATTGATTTGGTAGATACTTCTTTTGAAGTATCTTTAAATCTCTGACAGTTGCCTCTTCCTCCTATTGTGCTTTAAGTATTTGTTGAAGAAATTCATTCATTAGTCAATTGGTTCCAACTGTTCAGTTTTCCATAGTCTGGATTTGGCCAAGTGTATCCTCCTGCTATTAAAATTTTCTCTGTATTTTTTGTCAACTGTCACTTCGATCTAGAGGTTCAGTTAGATTGGTTTTGTTTTGTAAGATGATGTCACGGGTGGCTGTCCCATTTTTAAGACTGTTAAAATTGATAAGGGTGTTAGCCTAACCCCTCCATTATAAATTTCCCTAGGAACCA